CAGTTATCATTTGGGAATAACACTATAGCAGTGTTGATAGTAATAAAAATTGTGCTTTGAAGTTAAAAATTTGTGTGAAAGTTATATTTCTCTGGTGCCTTATCTGTACTCAATACAACAGTGCCTTTTCCTGATTGTGTTGTTTTAGAAGAGCAGTCTCAGACAACTTCTACTAGTCATTATATTAGTAGATTATCCTCTTCCAGCTCTGTATAACCCTTGTTGGGTTATAAGTTCTACAGCGGGCGTAAAATGATACCCGCTAAGCCAATTAATTGGCCGCTAAACCGCTAATAGCGACTTAGCGGCCTTTTGCACTTAAAACATGTTTTTTTTGATAGCTAAGCTCTTGGCTTAGCTTAGCGCAAACCCGCTAAGAGCACCCGCACTCGTTTGCGGTTGTTAATGCTGTCGCGTGTGGTAACAACCTCAACACTAAGTCAAAAATTACTTAACTTGTTGTAATTTCACACTTGTGTCAAAGTATTGGCACAGTAAGTTAGTCAACTTGAGAGATAAATCAAGTTTCCACACCAATGCAAAGTTTACAAACTCAAAATACACATCATCCCCTTGTTTCCACAATCCACCACCCAATTCACGCGACTTTTTTCAATAGATGGCAAGCGCATTCATCTCAAGATACCTCAAGAGAGCACAAGAGTTGATTCAAGAGGACCTAGATGATCAGGATGAAGACCTTGGATTAGACAATCCCCTCAATGAGAGTGATGATGAACACCCAAAGAAAAGAATGGTATATACAGATCAAGAAGAAGCCAATGCAAACCTTACCAGAGACTACCTTTCCCCAAACCCAAGATACAACAAGGAAACCTTTCAATGTCAATTCCAGATGCCCAGCAACATGTTCAAAGACATATGTACCCGGCTAGTCCAGCATGATAAGTACTGGGAACAAAGACATGTGAGCATCCATCCAGTTGACTTTTGTTTAACAACTTGTTTTTTTAACTTCTCATTCATACTTTGTTTGATTAGGATTGTACAGGAAGATTAGGCTTATCACCTGAGCAGAAGGTCACTGTAGCTCTACGTCAGCTTGCGTATGGAGTACCTGCAGACTCAACTGACAAGTATCTAAAGATAGCTGAATCTACGTCTCTCAAAGCTCTGAAGAAATTTTGTGACACAATCATTGACATCTATGGTCCTGAATTTTTAAGAACCCCAACGGAGGAAGAATTAATTACTATTTCAAAAGAATAAAAGGTGTGAGGTTTTCCTGGTTGTAAAGGATCCATAGATGGAATGCATTGGGCATGGGAAAACTTCCCAAGTGCTTGGCAAGGATGGTATCAAGGCAAGAAGAAATTACCAAGTATATCATTAGAAGCAGTGGCTTTGAAAATCTGCAGAATTTGGCACACTTTTTTTGGATCACCTGGATCTCTCAACGAAATCAACATCCTGAATTCAAGCCCTTTGTTTGACAAGTTTCTCTCGGGTATGTTCATACCCATTCTTTCACTCAATGAGATATTATGTCATTGACTTATTTGTTCATGTATCTGCATAGGAATGGAAGATAATCTTCACTTTGAAGTTAATGGAAATGAATACACACATGGTTACTATTTAGCAGACGGTATCTACCCCTTGTGGCCGGTGCTAATCAAATTGATTCGACATCGGGGTGATGCTGCAACATCTCTCTTTGCCAAAAGACAGGAAGCTGCAAGAAAAGACATTGAACAAACCTTTGGAATTCTTCAGGCTTGTTGGTTGATCATCAAGCAACCAGGTCGACTTTGGGGGATGCACAATCTCAGGAAGATTATGTATTGCTGCATTATACTACATAGCATGGTGGTTGAAGAAAGAGTGGAAATAGATCCTATTGTCAAAGACTACAACAGTCAAGTACAGGTGGTACCTAATATCTGAAATCCTTGTCTTGGATCATCACTTACCAATATGATCCAGGCATCTCAAGAGCTTTGGGATAGTGATATGCATCTGAGATTGACTTGGGATCTCATCACAGCTGGATGGTTGGTACAGGGAGGTTTATAGACAAGCAAATAAAAATCTCATTTCAACAGTTATAAAAAGCCATGTTGAAGACCATTGAAAGTTTGAAAACAAATGTATATAGTCAAAATCCTTTTTCATAGCTCCCTCCTAAGGTCAAATGAGATACAAAAATTGATTCAGAATCCTTATGAAACAATTCAAACCACAAGAAATGAATCTAAATTGAAACTGTTATAAAACCAATCTACAAAATAAGAAATTGATTTGCAAGTAATAAGAAATTGATCCAAATCAATTCAACAGTACAACTGTTCTAAGCCTGTTCCATAAGATAAGAAAACAATCTTGATCAATCTAGAATTGATTTTATGATCAATCTAATATCTATATAATCACAAAGTAAAGTAGAACAATCTCTCAATCAACATTGAATAAAGAGAAGCAGACAGTCAAATAAAAGACTTACCTTTGAGTTCAATGACTTGGAATAGCTACACGACATCAGAGCCTTCTGCTTCCTGCTTCTCATACTTGAGAAGTATTTGAGCCTGCATTTTCTATAAAACTTTTCTCGCTGCCTTGTTCATCTTTGATTCATCTTGATTCATAATGTCCATCTCTTTTGTCATGATTTCTGTGCTCATCATCTCTTTGGCTAATTGATTTGATTCTTCCAAGGCAGAGACTCTTCTTTCTTGAATTGCTTGAATTTTTACCTTCTCTTTAGCTAGAGCCTCCTCATCTTCTTCACATGCACATTTAGCCTTGCTCAGTTGGTTACTCTTGGAGCTCTTCTTTCCCAAAGGTCGAATTGGGCTACAGGCAAAAGCAGAGAGGCAATTGGTATTGGTTGCTACTGAGCTTTCCGTAGAAGTTGAAAAGGGAGTGATTGGGGACCACTTGGGTTTGTGACGTAAAACTTCCCAAGCAAGGTCACTTCAGAAGTCGCGTTTGAGCTTATGTTCAGCTTTGTAAGCCTCTTGCATGATGTCAACGGGGTAGCTGCCACTGCAGGGAAGTTGCTCAACTCTGGCGTAGCAACCTGAATACTTCAAAATGGAAGTTTGAAGCGCATTCCACCTATGAGCAACAACCATCGGTATGCATTCCAAGAAAAATAAACAGGAAGATTTTTTACCCATTTTGAACTTGAGAAAGTGAATGCCCAGGAGAGTCGGTGCTGGGTGGGACTGTGTTTGAGTTGAAGTGATTGGTAATCTTTTGGAACAAGATCTTGGCCGATTGATTTGTGCCAATTTCAGCTTGTGATGAAACATGTAGGTAGGACTTTGCCAGCTGCTCCTCCTCCTTTACTGTCCAGTTTGCACCATGCTTGCAAGTTTGAGATTCTTGAGAGTCTTCCATTGAATACAAGGTGATGTGAGTCCAGAGTAGTGGAGGTTGAGTCAAGTGCTGTTGAGTGGATGTGGTGAAAAGCGGGCTAGCAAGTCAGATAACGCATGTGTTAGCCAATCGGTTAATTAACCAATTGGCTAACACAAAACAATCAAAAATTAAGTACTGCGGGGCTAATTTTTCACCGGTGTGGAAAATACCCCATGGTTGCGGTAAATTTGACCTTACCACACCCGAGTTAACGCACGAGTGCAGATCCTCTAAAGGAAAAATCAAATTTTGATTAGCTTAGCTTGAGTGCACTAAGGATTTAGCACCAGCTTAGCAATAAAAAATTGCTAAGCGCTAACTTAGCTTAGCCGTGCCACTGTTGATTGTAGCATAGAGAAGAAAGCAGAGTATGAAGATGTCTGGTACAAATTTGGTTTAGGGTGTGTACCTTTCATGTGTTGTGAGTGTGACACTCTTGTGAACCATGAGTAGGATCTTATATAGCAGGTATATGAAGAAGATTCCTTGTGCCCATTTGTAAGCTGCAGGCCTGGGAAGAAGATTGTGTTTGCAAGTTCCTTGTCCAACCTGTTAAAATGCAAATGGGCAAAGGATTGATTCTGCCCAAAAGGAAATGGTGGCAAGAAGCAAGAACCTTCAAAATTTATCTAAGCTTGAAATCAGAGGCAAAGAGAAAGAAAAAGAAAAAAGAAACAGAACCATTTTTGAAAAGTTTCCAATCTTGCTTTCAAATGTGTGTTCAGATTAATCTTACACTTACAAATTAAGTTCATCTCATCATTTTTGTATTCACTTTATTTGCTTTGGTTTATGAAACTAAAGCAATGAGTTGACCTTTAGTTGTAGTGAAGAGTGATGTGAGGATCCAGGATAGCAAAGCCTGCGCATCCGGGACACAACCCCAATCATCGTGTTGCCCGCTATGAGAGCATCATCACTGCTAGTGGCGAGCGGACCTGATATGTGAAGCGTTGACCATGAAGGTTAACCGATACCGGTTGGACATTAATTTTCACCCGCTCGTGTGAAACGTTATATGACGCATGTCTCTCGAAATGTAGAAGCTTTTTCGACCGAAGGTGTGTTAGTTTTTTTGACGCTTCCTGTCCTGGGCTCAAAAGTCTATGTACGCGATGAAGTCATTTCAAGGATAATCTCTCGTCGCACCAGATCGTTCCTCTTCCCTTCCTGGTCGAAGTGTGAGACCTATGTATACGAAATGACGCATAAATCCTGAATAATTTGTCGAGATAGTCTAGGAAGACGTTTTATGATGTGGTCTGCTCCAGTCAAATCTCAGATTACCTTTGAAGTTTGTATGTAGTCGGTTGATTCCCATTTTGTAAATTCAACCAAGGTATTGTGATTAGTATTCGGGTCAAGTCGATTCGAACCAGATTTTAACATGAAGAGTCGAGTAAGTTGAAGATTTGATTTGTGAATGATTCTTTCTTGAATCGGTTAAAGAAGTTTCCAACGAATCGATCGAAATCAGATGAACTATTCTTGAGCAGTAGGGTTGAGTGCAGTCCAGAACCAGGAGAGTGTTCAATACAGAAGTGATTTTATCTGATCACATAAAGTTGAGATTGACATAAGATCACTTAAATTAAATTCACACTGAACTTCAACTTGAACTATTCAACATCCATATCATCACCGTCATCATCATCTTAACCAAGTTTTATTCAATTCATTCATTCATTCATTTATAAAAGAACACTTCACTCATCCATCCATCCATCCACTTTATCAACCAATCGATCATTTTATTTTATTCAAACCAAAAACAAAAAGATACCAGAGTTTTTATATAAAATATATTTATCTACATTCTTAAGCCTCTTTTTTTGATTTTGGATTCATTTATAACTTCGAAGACGTTCCAGTTGTCAATCCAACCAATCAATCAAATCGAATAAGAACCTTCGATTTTTTTTGGATCCACTTGAATTACAATCATTTCCAAGGTTTCAAGTTGAGTCATTTCAAAATCAAAACGTTACTCTTTACCATCTTACCTTTGTAAATCCTTTGTTTTCCATTCTCATCCATTCATTAACAACTCTCTCTCTCTCTTCTTTTCCTTACTTCAAATCACTTAATCATCCTAATCTGGAATCCATCCTTCCAAACCATTCACCTCAATAATCATCACAGTCATTAACATGAACTCATTAGCATTCCTCATCTTACTCGGTACATCCGCTGTTCGAGCTGGTTAGTCTTTCTCATCTCCCTTTTCCGATTTCACCTCTGAACGTTTTTCTTCAATATCTGACCAACGCTTGTCTTACAAAACCCTAGGTGTCACACCTACCGCTCCTGGTCCAGGTCAAGTTTTCAACGAAGGATCAGATTGTACGATCCAATGGAACTTGGATACTACCGGAAAATGGACTAGCTTTTCCATCGACCTCAAGACAGGCTCGAACCAAGCTATGCAATTGGTTACTAATGTTGCTAGTGGTTTAGACGGTACTAAAGGTGCTACAAGTCATTCATGGAAATGTCCGGATGTGACTCCTAACTCTGCGGTAAGTGGTACTACCACTTCTCTTCTACAACCCTTCACGAACTTAATTCTTCGTGATCTGTAATCTGACCTCATCCTGGATCTTCAACCTCATCTTGACTTTTACTTTGGTCATCAGATTTATTTCTACGAGTTCAGTCAAGCTGGTGAATCCACTACCTGGACCACTCGATTCACGATTGCTTCATCCAGCGGTGCTACTACTCCACCAACCGAGTCAACGTAAGTTGAATTTGCTTCTTCACCAATGATTCAACTACTGGTTATTTATACTGATTCATCTTTTGGTTTCAGTCAACCAGATGGAAAGAAAATCCCATGGGGAACCGGTAGCTTGGCTAATGGAGCTACCCCTACTCCTTCTACAACCCCATCGACTTCAGCTGCCAACACATCTACTACTATGAACACCACTACTGCTCAAAACACTACCGGCTATAACACTACTGCTAATCAATCCACTGCCAATACTACCGTGTCCCCTACACCTTCAGGTGCTACCACTTCTAGTACGTCCTTCATCTCAATTAAAACAAGTAAATCATACCTCTAACACCTTTCTCTTTTTTCACAGCCCCGGTAGTCGGCGGTGCTACCACCTCTACCTCTGCTGGTACATCGTCAGTTGGTACATCGTCAGTTGGTACATCCAAGTCTGGATCAAGCACACCAGGCTCAAGCGGTATCGCTACAGGCTCTTCAGCACTATCAAACACCACTGGTGGCGCCGCTACTACCAGTGGTGCCAGCTCGCTCCACGCTATGGCCAGCTGTGTTACTCTTGCTACTGTTCTCTCATTCACTTTGTCAGTCTTGGCTTGAGGAAACATGTATTGATTGGTTGAGTCAACTTGATTACACACACAAGCTCGTTTTTGTTCAGTGTTGAGGGCAAAGTAGGTTGAGAGAAATTTTGAAGGAAACAACTTCACTCGAAATTGGGCATGAATACCTTTTTGTTTTCTAATTGACATTTTCTACCAAGTCATTTGCTTTTTTCTTTTTTTTGGTGGGTTTGTGATATCTACTCTGATCAAGTGTAAACACCAAGAATTTTTTCCTTCTCTTGTTTTTTTCCATCTCAAACAAATTCAAGAAACCAAAGAAAAACAACTCGAGAAAAGAAAAGATATGTGATGCATTGTATCTATGTCTTTTTTTTCCTTTTAATTGTTTTTTTTCTTTTTTGTTTTTCTTTAACTACAACATTTGTTTTTCTCTCTCTTTTTCTCTTTTTTTGACTTTCTCTGATCTCTTTTGAGGTACGAGAGATATCAATATCTTTTTTTCGGTTCATTGATTGTGGGTTTGGGTTTTGATTATATTTTGGATGGATGGAAGATATATTGGTTTGATTGAGAGGTACATATGAATGGTTGAGAAAAGAGAGTTTTGAAGAGCAAGGAATTGAGTCTGATTGATAGGAATGTATATGATTGCCGTTTTGCAAACGCACGCCCAAGTTGAGCACCTGTATGCATGAAACTGCAAGGTTCGATATTCAATTTAAAGGTTTGATGACAGAATAAGTAAATTATGTAGATCCATGGAGATGCTTGAAGATGCTATAAGGTCATTCAATTGACGATTTAGAAGAGACTGGGTGAGAGTGGAAAGAGGAGTGAAACAATAAGAAATGACGGTGAAGAAGTTCGATGAGAATGAGTTGATTATTATTGATGAATTTGCTGTGAAGTGAAAATCATCATCGAAAACAGTAAGGGCCCGTTCGGCTGGAAACCAAATACGGTTTTTGGCCAAATACTCCACCAAAGCCAAAAACCGTATTTGGCCAAATACGGTTTTTGGTTTTTAACAAAAAGAGCAGCGTTCGGCAACGGTTTTTGATCAAAAAATCTTCAATTTTGAAAAACAGCCCTGAGGCTGTTTTTGAGACCAAAAAGAGTTTTTGGGCTCATTTGCCCCTCCATTTTGATTTTTCATTGACCGATTTGGTCGACTGTTCGGTAAACGAAAAAGCCGAATTTCGAGTTTTTCAATCTGCCCCTCGAAAAAGGGGCAGATCGAAAAATCGTTTTTGTGTAACGATTTTTTCGAAATCCAGCCGAACGGGCCCTAAACAAGCGAAATACCAACCCGTTTTCTTAAGAAGTCTAACGAATTATTCATCAAAAGACTTCACAAGTTAAAGACAAACGAAAAATATCATCAAAAAGAATCGGATTGAATTTTTAATTGTATATATAATCACAAACCATGCTCACATATTCAATTTGTACTTTCAATTGAACCATCATTGGATTGGTTTGTTGGTCATCAAGAGGATGATGTTAAATCAAAAAGAATTGAACAAAATATCCTGCCAATGCCATCAATCAGCCACTGAAGCCAGAAATATAACAAGTTATCATAGCTCAAAATGTGCCCAGATCATTATTTACATCATTGCGAGAAGTTCTTATTGGATCTTTGAAATCATGTTACTACTGAATATCTGATGGAAACAAACACATTTACACATTTTGATGATGCAAAAAAAATCCCCAATAGCTTGAAAGATCTTTGAATACAAGGAAATGAAGTTTACAAATGGGAATTGGGAATGAATAGACTGAAATCTTGGGTCTGGATTCAATACATACAAGTTCTTTATTTACACTTACAAGAGAAATCAAATGATGAGAGTCTGCAAGGAAAATTACAAACAACTTGATGGTCGTGGTTACAGTTTTTTTTTTCTATGAACTTCAACGTAGAATTGATGTGATGTGCTTCATGGGATCCCCACAGGTTCATCGACTAATAAAGGTGGCTCTCTTAGATATGGACTAAAGATACATGCCAACTGAAAAGTCATAAAAAGCAATGATGAGCCCACAGTATCATGATTTGATCAGTAATTCATAAACCTCATTCTCACATCAAAAAACTAAGAAACCAACAATATATCCAAAGACATAATAGATCGGTGTTGCAAAGATGCCTCCCACAGCAGCAGCACGTACAGCCGAGAGAGGTTCGATTGATTTTGCCAATTGAGCAGCTTGTAGAATAGCAGATCCAAGTGGACCTCCAACCAGACCGATCAAATAAGGAGTAATCAAACCCCAAGCCATTCGAGTTTGATCCATTCTAACTTGACATCTAACAATTTCAGGATCCATCTCTGGTATACCACCAATATCATCCATGGTGAAGATACTTGAGACGAGTAAACAGAAAAATGCAGCTATCGGTCCTCCTAATGCACCTATTCGAGCTGCTAGATATAACGGTTGATAGTCTTCGTATCCGGAATCATCTAAGATCGAGCAACCGATGACCATCGATAATACTCCAATAAGCGGTCTGTATTGGGGTGACCGGTGATGTGGTCAGACAGGATTCCAAATTGTCAATGGAAGAAGTTGAAGAGTAAATCTCGTTCCAGTGAAGTTGAGAGGATGACGTCATCACAACTTACGAAACCAAAATGGCTATCCAACAAAATCAAGCATTCGATCGAATCATTAAATTAGCCATCCAAACCAAAAAGTAAAATAAATCACATTGATGAAACCTCACTCACTCAATGCACCTTCAGCCTCCCACCTATCGCTCATCACTTTTGTTAAAGAGTTTATATCAGTGAAATATCTTATTTAAAGAAATCGTAATCCGAGTCATGCAGAGTAAAAAAAACGTACCTTGATATCAAAACCTTCTCTCTGATAAAGGATTAAGATATCCAAGCTGAAAAGCCTATTAAGAAAAAGCGAGTGAAGGATAAGATCAGATGAAACAAGAAGAAGTTAAAGATGGTACGCTTCTTTAGCCTTTGATAGGATTAAAGAACTTGAGAAGTTACTGTATCACGTGAATTACAAAACTTGATCTTGACAATTGCAAACAAATCCAAATTGATAAATCAAATCAAACTTTCAACTTCACACTTGATTGAATTTGACTCGAGTGTGAGAGACATTTAGATGAGGGAGGATCGACTAGAATTTGAAGAGTGAGGATCGTGAGTATTTGCTTGCTGGGTTCGAAGATGATCTGCTGTCGCACTAAAGAATAGATAGCCAACACTTCAAAGCAAGGGTGAATGAAAATAAGAAGTCCATGGAACTTGGAATTAGGGACTACACCATCGAATGCTGCCCTATGCTGCCCTTGCCTGAGTTTGATTGACCCCAACCAAACCTTATTGCCAAAGACTGGCCTTAAATCCGCCACCACAGCACTTCACACATCCTAGCTCATCCCACTCCTACGACTCATGTTCATACTCAACACAGTCCCTCTCAGCGAGAGAGGCGGCGTGTGGTGGGGCTTTTGGAAAGCTACAGTCAGCACCCCTCCAGGGATTGCCTCTAGGGGAAGGGGACCTCGGGAGCAGACTGTGTATGTCTTGTACCCATTACTCGCAGGATGTGTTTCACGTGAGTTTTCTATCCTCAAATGTTCCGTTTGGTGCATTCTCAGAAACAAATCGTTACAGCATTTGGAGCCTCATGTTGATAGCGGACATTGGTATTTGACCAGATGCATGAGCTCCAAGGCAGTTCTAACATAAGAGTGCACGCGAACAAGAGTGACTCCTGGATCACAGCTTCAGGAAACTTATCACACAGAGCAAATTACCAGCTTTAACTAATAATATCTTAGCACCAAAAAAGAACAGAGCAGAAACGGTTAAAAGGAACAAAGACAACACAGACGCAAGATTGTGTCCTCACAAGTATCAAATAGAGAATGAATGCAAAAACGACAGAATGAAATAAGAATTTCACAATCTTACGATCGATTTAGAAAAAAAAACAATAAACAAAGAAACCATAAATATATATAGGGATATATTGACCAGATGGTATCAGAAGAGAAAAAGGAGAACGTTAAATTCGTAGTCCCACTTGGGAACAGTTTAATAGAAGGATCCAAATCTCAAAGGACAAAGGTGAAACGGTCCAAGGAGAGTACTACTTTGATGATTTGGTATCACCTATACGCTGTTCTTGAAGAACTCTGCGGCGGCCGAACTGACTTGACGGTTTCCAACAATCAACCTGAAATCTTCAGTTCTGACAGGAGTGTCACCGCTAAATGATGAATTTGGTCATAAAACAAATCAACAAAGGAAGATCAGCTGATGTTTAGATTTGTGATGGAGTACAGAATTACTGACGTGGCATTCTCATCTTTGATGATTTCGAACTGAACAGATAAAGGTCAAATGAGGTTGCGTCAGCCGGAGAATCGATGAAAAGCAAAGGAAAGCCCTCAAGGTAAGGGCTACACTAACCCATATCATTGCCCGCAGATTTGGGACAACTTTCTTGATGTAACGGTCAAGCAACAAGTGTGCCCATTTCATCTTGATATCAAGTTCGGAGGCACCTCCCTCAACCGGGGCCTTGGTCCACTGATTGTAGGTATAACTGGCAGCTGGAGTGAAGTTCGTGGTTAGTAAGCCGCATGAAGAAGCCTAGTAAGAAAGGTGAAGCGTGGAACAAACCAGTCTCGGCAATGACAATCGGTTTACCCTCTCCTCCATCGCCGTAAAGCTTGATAATAGATATTCGACCGCGTATGACAGCACAAGTGTTCAATCAGTTTTTGAAAGCTAACATGCTGTTTGATAAAAGAAATACTGACCTTGTTAAATTCGTGAATCTTGCCTACAACTTCGTCCTGGTCGGGTGCAATGTTCAACCTGTGATAGGACTTTCCCCAGTGATAGAAAGAAAGACCTAGAAGACGGCCGCATTCAGCTCGTACGTTGTAGACAAAGGCTTACAAAGTCAACATACCTGCAATGTCGACATACTTCGACCCAGGCCAGTATTTGGTGTAGCCTCCTTTGAGGGAATCGATGCTGTCCCCGAAGATAGCGTTAGGAGACCATAACATATCTACAAAGAGCATAGGAGAAGAGCATTCATGTTCAAACGCGGGTCAACAGGTCAGTGATAAAAAGAAGAGCTTACACGTCATACTTGTGGTCGCTTTGACTCGTTCACCAAGCAAATTCCATTTCTCTTTGAAGACTGAATTGAAATCGAAAGAAGAAAATTTCTAATTAGACAGTGCAGCTTGCTAGGACTATGAGTCAAGCAGCACTCACGTTCTGGTTTCATGCCCCAACAGTACCATTCCCCGTTCATCTAAGAGAATGAATGATATTACAAAACGATGAGTTCACAGTGCCTCGATGTAGTCTCTGAGAGCACAGTATAAGGCGCTGGTTGGTAAATCGAAGAACTTATATGCTTACTTCGTGACCAAATCTAAGCCAGACAGTAATTCCTTGATCGTTGATGTGTTTGAGCTTCTTGGCAATCTTGTCTGCCACTTCCCATGTGATAGACTCCAATCCTTTAGTGGGCATAAGTCCAATACACCAGACAGGGTTGCCTTCAAGTTTCTTGATGGTCGGAACGTGCCAACCAAGATTTGATAAGGTGTCATCGATCTCAACATAGTCTCCCACCTGAGATCCGTATGTAAATGCGGCCGATCAAAAGTGCAATCAGTTTTCACAAGGTACACTGATCGAAAAGCACTGATCGAAAAGATTCGACTTACAATCGACATTGGTCTCGGAAGTTTAGCATTGATATCAGCCGGGCTATTAGGAGACTTCTTCTCGTTGAAAGCTGGCACAAAGCCTACGGCTATACGATTCACATGCAAGTTCGAGCTACGAAGTCCGAGAGAGGACCATTGCGCCGATCCGTCTGTGTTTTCTCCGTAACTGTCCTTGTGTGGATCTGATCCGAGGTCGATTCCGTCATCACACTTCTCGGATAAATCGCAATTGTTGAGGGTCACGTCGCCTTTCTTCAAGAGCTCCGCGGCATCGATACGTTTATGCAGTGCCTTGCCTTTGTCGGAAGAGATACGTTTGTGTAGGTGCTTGTCTTGTGCCGCTTTTGCTGATACCAAGCACTCGGACGTGAGAAGGACTGTGATGAGTAAGGCGAGTATGCCACTATGTTTAGATAAGACCATGTTAAACCGGGAAGATTTCACCGTGACGGCGAGTGTCGGGATAAGTATTGACTGTTAGGACCGCGGAGAGTATCAAAGACACTCTGAAAATACTCCGGTTCCGAAAGAAGAGGATGATATCGACAGAGGGGAGCTCAGACACGTAACAAGTTGGGTAGGTGTGAATGGGAGGAAGTTGTAGGGATGATAACAACGAAGGTGGAGGTATAAGGAGCTAAACTTGTCAAAGATTGGGGTGGGTGATCGATCTGAAAGACTGAAAAAAAAGGAGACAAGGAATGACTGTTGGTCGTTGGATGAGTGGCGATGAAAAACTCTGGAAGGAGTTCTTGTTGCTTGAAGTTGAGGTATGTGCAGGTTCAGACTCGGCCAGGAGAAATAGAAAAGGGTGTTTATATATGTACTAGAATTGAAGAACCTAGTAACTTCAAAGTTCACTCCTCGAACTCAATCAAGCTTGCTTGTCAAGAGATTCAGAAGGAGAAAAAAGGAAACACAAAAAAATTCAAATTCTCGAAACAGGAGTGAAAAAAATTGATTGGATGGAGTTCTTCTGTCATTTATGATTTCGTCATCTTACAGTGTAGGTGGGAGACTTACATCTACTCGCATATGTAAAATGAGGGTGGGCGGTGTGATTTGCCGAGCGAGAACAGTCTCAGAAGAGTTACAGACGCTTAATAAATGTCATCCAAACAAACAGACTGCCACCTCAAACACTAGCCCCACATGTCATACATACATGCCGTTCATTGTGCACCCGCTACCCATCTCTACATATGGTCCATGGACTTCATCAGCGCCTTGTTCTGCCTGGTTGCCTTGTGAAATCACGGAGACTTCATCTCACCAATGACGCCTCTGGTCTACATTGGGGGGAAGGAGTGAAAAGGTGTGGAAAATTCTTGTCATTTGATCTTCCAAGTGCGGGTCATCACCCTCACCGATCAGCTGTAAAAGGCTCAATAAAGCTTGTTGTTGATCATAGCGTAGCTAGATGAACATGCATCATCAAGGTGCATTTACACAACATTGAAGTAGCTCCTATGTGAAGGGTCCGTCCATAGGTTCATGATCCCGATTTGATTCCTGACGACCAGCACCAGACATCGCAGTGAATAGCGCACAGCTCGAGAGAACCATCAGACAGGCAAGATCACAAATTTTCTGCGTGGACGCGTGATGCGCGATGACCACAGTGGGGCTTGTCCGATTACAATGGCGCGCAGCGTCCTTGAGATTCGCTAGAACTATCTGCAATACGCGTCAAGTTGATCCAAAACACATGCTGTTGGTCTTCCCAAATCATATGTCTCGAACTTGATCGCATCTTTGGCGATACCGGCGGTGCTGTGTGACGTCCGCTTCCATCTTATCAGAACGAACATCTCTGCCGTTCATACTCAAGCCCACTGCGAGGTAGGCAATGGTGGAGTTAAGTGAGATGGATTGCAGAGCAAGCCTTGGGAAGCCCTACAGATCTATCGCTTGCCACGTAAACTTCTTGAGATAGCGGGTAGCCCTTTAAGACGGTCTTAAGTTTCAACTGGCGGGCATCTTCTGCCATGCTGATCTTTTGGATGTTTTTTGAAGGGCTAGAGAGTTTCAAAGTTCAAGTTTGAAACTTCCTCTCTGTCGCTCGACTTTTGACGAGGTCAAGTCAGTCCGACATGACCAGGTTCATTCCGTGTTGATGTAAAACTGAGCGTCACTTCAATCAAGGCTTTGTAATTTGATTCCATGGATTCACGGAGGTTTGATTGACTTTCGAACTTGTTTTGGATTGCGGCCATTGCCAAGAAACTTTGGGCCAGTTTTGGTATTTTCGATCATGAGCAATTTACCCGCCTGATCACTGCGGAATGGCCGGCCTCCATCTCCGGAATCCAAAACCACGATGAATGGACTCTCGAACGACTTTCTGGAAGGGGGCTATCTGGGAATACGTCTCGAAACTCTTTTTACACAAGGGGTCCCTTTTTCAGAACTTCTGAAGTCATCTTCTTGACATGGTGTGCCCTTTTTCCTCTTGACCTCATGGTCACTCATGGTAGTCAGGTACATAGTCAATGGTTGAGCCTTGGAACCGGGACTCAAAAACAGCTCCTGACAAAGGAAATTATATGCCCGTGTTTGTTTGGCTTTGCAGTGATGCGTCTGGCAGTGGCATGGTCTGCCATATCCATATGGATCTATGTCCATATCCCTCGGTATCCATCCAGCTTTTACACTTTTTTGTTGATTGAGTTACATATAAGCCTATCGAACACTGTATCAAGCACTCTGCGTCAGGTCCAGCTGCCAGTAAGAACTTTGTGTCTGTTTGATTGGGGAGATTCATGTTTTGAGCTGCAACTTGCAGGTAGAAGGAGTGCAGTTGAGCTTGTCTGTGCGCCATTGCAGATCAGTGAATGCATTTCTTGCTGTACATCATCCTACTTCATGGGGCTTTAAGTCAGTTTGCATGGACATGTGGAGGTTTTGTAGTATTTTGAGGTTGTTTGAAGTTGCTCAAGTTGCTTGAAGTGGATCAAGGATTAAGAATTCCATGAGTGATCTGATGTGGTGTATATTTGGGGTTTATCTTTTCTGAAACAGGTTCATGAGATGATTTTACTCAAACTCTGTCTCACTCTTGAGTGGTCTATCACTGCAAAGACCTTTTTGTTTGTAAGCACAGCGCAAGAAACATTTTATCTGCCATGTGTAATGGAACAGAGTGCTTTTACACAACAAAATACAGCTAACTTGACCAAGTCCGTCCTGGCAAGTCAGCTTTCCAGAGAATAACTTATGGCCTATCTATGAAATTTGTTGTGTGAGCCAGGGAAATTTGGCTGGCAAGTGTTTGTGGTTTGGGCCTAACACACAACAATTGTGATGAAGGACATGTCACATAGCAAGTCAAAGTGGGGGGTTGAACATATTTTAAGTATGCTCTCAATCACTTGAGTGAACACCATCTACAATGCTGGGACAAAATCAACTGTCCTTGAATCTCCATGTTTTGTTGGAGAACCAGATATTGTACCAAGTGGGTTTAAGATTGTCGTTCTGTTTAGGAGAATATTTGGGTTCCAGAATCACTGAAAGTACTTGTGATGGGGCCAATGATCTTGCCTGCCTACACAGAGTAGCCTTTCTCATACTGGCAATCCTTGACAAAGTTTGAAGTCCATCAATTTCCTTTAGTTTCACAATTAGTCTTCAGGGGAACACTGGTATGGTTCAAATTGACAATACTCAGAATCCCCAAACAAAATAATCAGGCCCCAATTCTGGACATCACATCAACATAAATGGTTGAAAATCTCAATAATAAACAAAATAGACTTCTTTGGTTGAACAACTCTTGCAGTTGCAGAATGTTTCTGATTTACACAATGCACTAAAACAAAAATTAGTCCAGTGTTGATTTCTAGTCTTTTGATCACAGGATAGTGAAAAACATACACTTTAAACATTATACATTAGCGGTACACAAACTTGAACACCTGACCTAAAAACCCATGGACAAAACCCATGACAGCCCAATTGTGTCTGGGGTTTTGTCCATGGGTTTTCAGGTCAGGTTTTCATGTTTGTGTACCGCTATTTTCCCCAAGTGGGAATGGGAAAATGATTAAGAGTATAGTTTGTCATAAAAGGATCTATCATTGCACACCTGAGCCATAACACCCACACTACACACTGCCAGCATTAAAGAGGTTCCCAGATGGGAATATGGGTTGCAGGAATCAGACAGCCTTTGTGACTACATATATTACAATGGCCGTCTGATCCCTACAACCCATATTCCCATCTGGGAACCTCTTTAATGCTGGCAGTGACATATGTGCAGCTGGCTGAGTGAATGAGTGGCTATCATGTACATACAGACCTGCTCAGTTATCTGTGCACCTGCATAATTGAATCATATGTAATATATGCTGTAACTTTTTTCAGCTTGGCAAAACCATTAGCCGTTCTCAAACCAAACCTGGTTTCCAAAAAACCCGGTACACCTGGTTGTCTTTTTGGCTGGGAGGTGTCAAAAATGTCAACTCAATACACAAAGTTACCACCAAAAAAGCAACTGGGGGTACCAGGGTTTTTGGCAACCGGGTTTGGTTTGAGACTGGCTATTCTAAAAATTGCTACATACACAGGACCCTGGAGAGCTCTTGTACAGGTGGGTGATGCAAAAGATTTTATTTATGTTTGCTGTGAATTGCTGTGTATTTCACAGCATCTACACCACATTAACAACTCTTCACAATTGTATAGGTATGAATTTCACAGTTTACAAAGTGCTTTGCTCCTGGCTAGGCATTAGGCATTGGGCGAGGTTTTTGAATTTTTTTGTTTTTTGGTTGCACAAACCAATTCAAAGGTAGTTCAGTTTGTTTGGAATCCTTGAGTAGGGATGGCTGGCCAATATCAAAGCCACCAAAAGCACAGCAAAAAAATATTTCTTGTTTTGCTTCACAAAATTTTTCCAAAATTTCATCTGGCGTAGAGCATCCTTGCTTGACCTGTAAAAGCCACAAGCCCCAATCGCGCCACAAAAGAAGCCTTTCAGACATTTCACAGATACCTTGCCCAGGGTACCCCTTTTCT